AGCGAAACCTCACAGCAGCAATAAAAGGTTTAACTTGGCAAGTCTGTTCCATGTCCTGTGCTTGCTCTTCTGCAAATTTTTGCTTGCCACTCTCCTCCAGTTCATCAGCTACCTTTTCCTCCTTCCATTCTCTTCCTTCATTTGTGACTAGGTACTAACTGTGCCCCATCCCGTTCCCCAAATCAATCCAGGCCCCATGATGCTGGTGACTGCTGCCAACGTGGTGGAAGTGCATGGAGCGCGTGGTCCCCTCTCTCGGCCCACTCAGTGGATAGACACTACCATGACTTTGTCCATGAACGCAATGTGAAGAATTCAGAAGTGTACAGACAGGCCTTTGACTCTGGTGTCCCAACCACCGTGACTGACCTGTAGGAAAGAAGCCATAAATGTCACTGTCTTCCATGACACATTGGAATATTAACACTTTGAAGGACATGGAATGGGCATAATCGCTAAGAAATTAGCTGAAGTGGTAAAGCATCTGACTCAACAAACGCCTTACGAATATTTTCTTTTTAGCACAGATCTCTTTCCTCTGTGATATTAGGTTGAAGAGGAGGTACCTTTACAAGTTTTTCTTAATGTGTGGGGTAAGGACTTGAAGGCTATGTTGGTTGTAACTAAGATCTATTTTCAGCCCATGGTCACTGTGTTTTGTTCTTGAAGTGATAAGTTAGGCTGGATCCCAGCAGTGGTGTAATCGCTGTTAACATTTAACTGTTACATATATTTTTAAAAAACAAATGGAGGAAATGGCTACTTCCAGCAGAAAATTGTTCTTTAGTTTTTCTGCACTTTTAATAGTGTGCCTAATTGAAAGTGAAATAGAGTTATACTTTTTATATAAAAATAAAATACTTCCAAGGATACCTGAAGGAATGTTAATAAAGTTGTCTGAAGGGTGGATGTTTTTAGAGGTTTTGTATGAATGCAGAAACCAGTGCAACTGCTTTCATGAGTCTGGCATGAAATCTGACAGTATTCCTAATTCAACTGAGTTTTCCGTCTCATTCATGGTTTTTGCTTTGAGGGATTTGTCTCTCAGTTTGCATTGTTAAAACAAGTAAGCTCCAGTCCTGTAGTCCCACAGTGTGTCCATATGCATGTGTATGTGTTTGATTAGAGCACCAAATATGAAGGGTTGTAGAACTTTTATTTTATCTCTTTTTCTGAGACTTCCAAGAAACGGCTGCTCTCAGAGAGGCAGATACAACATTACCTTCTGCCTTCTTAAGACCGCAGAGAATTAATTTTTCTTTGTGAGGATTCCACAATTGGTGAGATTTCAAAGCAAGGTTTAGGAAGGCCTTGCCTGGGCATTCTGGAAGAGGTTGTGGATCCCCCAGGTTGCAGATGCCTTGTCATGCACGTGACATACCCTTGGAATTAGGGAGGAATTAGACTAGCAATAGAGCCCCTCCCATTAGAGTAAGTCAGTAGAGGAATTTTTGTGCAGGTGGAGGAAGCACTGGGAAAATGAAGAGTAAAATAAGTACACTCTTTTTCCTCCGGGGAAGCACAGTAGAACTTTGAATAAGGCATTTTTCCACCCTTGCGTTCCAACCCCTCCCAGTAGGATTGGTCTGGCAAAGGAATTACAGAGTGTTAACTATAATTGTTCCCGACTGAAAGGTTTGAAGATGCATTGCAGTTGTTGCTGTGAGGAAGAGTTGCTCAAGTTAAATAAAAGCAAAGCCAGAAGCCAAAGCTGGCTTGTAACAGTTTGCTCAAACTCTTGGGGGGCCTGGGTCATTTAGGAAATGTGACAGCTGCTGCCAGTAAATATGAAAAGGAAATGCAAACATGCAAGTGAAGCCAAGAATCGGCATCTCTTTTTGCTTTCCCCAACCACCAATATTTAGGAAGTGGTACCAGAAGATTTAAAAAGAGGCCCATGCTGCTTGTGAGCAAGTTGGGATTGTCTGGGAGCCTGCCTCTTTTGAGATATTTTTGAAGTTCTACTTACGTTTTTAAGTAGAAATGAATGCAGCTGGTGGCAGAATGCTTTATAGATGGCAGGGGAACCCTTTCAGACTTTGGACAAGGGCAGAGCAGGTAGAGTAGTACTAGAGTGGGTGTTTTGCTTATGGTTAGAGACAGATCAAGGTAACTCAATCAGGGTGTACACTGGTTTTTTCGGGGGTGAGTTTGAAGTTGAGGCATAAGCCAGTGTGTGTACCTGTTCCCAAGAATCCACAGCTGTCAATTTAGGAATGTGGAACATGTTGCCTTTTAAATGATGAGCTCCTGACTCTCACCAGCCCCTTCCAGCACAGCCAGTGGTCAGGGGTCATAGTTCCAACATTTAGGGAGCTACCAATCCCCCACCTTTGGTGTAACTATCACAGCACCTCGAAGAACATGATTCAGTGAAATAGGCCATTCTGCATTCTACATTAAGACTGTAGCCAAAGCAGAGTTTGAGGCTTTAGCACCAAGACAGCTCTCCCGTTCCTGAATGCCTGCTCAATTTGATGAACGCGGCCCAGGAGAATCTAAAGGCTCACTTGTTATTTATACAGTGTTTTTTTAATTGTTTTCAATAAAAAAAAATTGGACTTTTCCCTCTTAGAGACCAACATTTCTTCCTTTTTTGTTTTGCTTTGAACAGACTATAGCAAGCTAACAGTAGAGATAGATGGCTATTTACCTTATATGCAAATACTTACTGTGCTGTCTCATTTATGTTTGACGAGGCATGATGCTACTTTTTCTGCAGACATTTGCACTTGTTCCAGAACCTTGAGCATTGATTAAGAAAGTGCAGTTCCTTTGATCATCTTGTTGACCGAATACCATCCTCCCCAGTCACCAGCATGTATCGCTTTACAGTCAGTCAGCAGTGCAACACACTTCTGTTCATCTCAAAGAACTCCCTTTTCAGGACTTCCAAGTTTCTGTGGTTGACTTCCATTGCAAACATCCTATTTTCACATACATCTTTTCATATAGATCTGAATCCAGTTAGGGGCACTGAAAAAGGATGAGAACATGCCATTTCATAATACTGTATCTGATTGTGTGCTGCCAAGTAAATTCCAGCTTGCAATAACCCTCCCAAGGTTTTCTAGGAATCAAGTACTCAGAAATGGTTCACTAGTCCCTCCTTCTGGTGGCATTCAGGGACCGTGTCGCTAGCCCAGGGTGGCACAGATGGCAAGGCATGTAACTTCATCAGCGTCAAATGTGGCCTGTGTTGTCTCTGTTGGACCCTCTCCTGGGAGACACAGTACAGATTCCAATTCCCTCTCCCTGTAGGCCACTGAGTTATACCAGTTTATACGGCCATCTAAAATGACTGAGCCATGAAAAAGATAAGAGGAAATTTTCATTTGGTCCCTATTTCTTCGGTTTCCCTGCTTTTCTACATTATGTATGGTTATTAATGTACTGCTTCAAACTTCAGCATGTTTGCTAAGCTATTGCAACCATCCACTCACCTAAAAACTTGATTTCTACCATATTCCAGTATCCATTCCCCATTCTGATCTAATTTTAAAAGCGACACAGTTTTGTTCTTCATAAAGGACTCCCTTTGCTGGAAGATGGATGAAGGAGCACCATTATGTATGTTCTTCTGGGTCTCTGTTTCAATCAGCTGTAAGATTTGTCTGAACCAGCTTGCCAGGTTGGCATAGAGGTATTTTGTTAAGAATTTCAGGTTTGTGGCTCTTGAAGGAAGGCAGTGAATAAGCAGTAGACATCTACATAGATCCCTGTTTTGGGTACTCAACTTTGCAAAGTCAAGTGAGTGACTATCCATGGATCAGGTGCCAGTATAAATGCCATGGCTTAGTCATGTTTTCTTCCCCCTCAACCGTTACATAGGCAACCGTGAGGTCATTCTGCTTGTTGGATAAAAGCTTAAAAGTCTTTAGCTGTTTCCAATACCACCCATGTGTGTCTTGTAGAAATGGGAAGCCAGAGGTCTTTTCTAGCCTAGAAGTCCCTCTTCATCTTTACCAGTCTACCAGATGGAATCCCAGATTGGTACTATCATCTGGGTTGCTGATATGTCCTCCCAGCATCACAGGTGTTTGGACGCCAAGGATGTACTGTCCAAAATTTTCCCCACGTGCATCTGCTTGATCCTGTCTAATATTCACCAATAATTCTGTACAGAGGTGGGATGAATAGAATTAATTCTTTAATTCTTGCACAGAGTGCTCAACTCCTTGTTGCATTCTTTTAAGAAGCTTCTGTGGAAAGTAAAACTTTTTTTTGCCTATTTATATGAATGCCAGAATCTAGAGACAAAAGAGGGAGCTAAACCAAGAAAACGCCAAGAAGAAAATAGTGTCTAAATTCTTTGTCTCTCAGAATAGTTGTAGGTTGGTGGTTTGTTTGCCCAGATTACACATGTGTTTTCCATAGTGAATATGAAGGGCAGACTGTGGGTGTTAATTTCTTAACCACCGAATTACGCATACTTGGGATCCCCAGCTAGTTTTGTCTGCATTTGCTCTGAAACCCTGCATGCGTGTGTTTAAGTACATGGAAAAGTTGCATGTCTGTCATTCACACTTTTGCATTTCATTGCAGGCAGCAACTGTGTATTTTGATAAATAAAATTGCAGCATACAGAATGGAGCCATTGTGCTACTCTGTAAGACATCAGTGCTTTTCTTTCTTTTTAAAAAAAATATTACTAGTATCTAGATACATGGCATTCAATTCATAAAATAACAAACTTACAGGTATAGAACAAAGGATCGGAGGAGGTCAGCTCATGCATCAATGGCTTTGTTCAAAATTGTTGATTTTGTTTTGATTTTTATCATATGAAATTAATTCTACATTGACTTATCTACAGTTGTGATTAGACTGTTCATTTAGAAATGAAATTCTAGAGTTAAAAGCATAGATTCCTTCAGATATATAGCTACTTATTCTGAAGCAAAAACAAACACCTGCTGATTTGTTGTACCCATTCAATCCTATGTCTATGCCATTTCTGTAAATATATGTCTTAAACCTTGTTTCCTTTCCTTATGTAGCCTGCCTGTGATTGCTGACTTACTGGATAACAAGGAGTTGTTGGAAACATGTGTTGACAGTGTTGCTGGTTTCCCTCCCGGAGACCTAGTTGAAGTTCTGGAAGAGGCAGAACGCTCTTTCTCTCCTCATGGTACCAGAGAACTCTCTGAGAAACCAGATCCTGTTGGTAAGAAAGTGCTGTGCAGAAAGATCATTACTGGAATATTTGTTATTGGAAAATGTGCAGGTTCTATGTTGCATCCTACAGCAGTCCATTCTTGGCAGTGATATCTGATGTTCTGGTGAGTGTCAATTGAGTGGAAGCCTTAGTTCCAGAAACCCAAGACTTACTTACCGACACTGGCATGAAGCCACTTTGTCATAGTGGATGTGTCTCCCCATCCCTCTTTTCCTCTTCTTCTTCTTCTTCTTCTTCTTCTTCTTCTTCTTCTTCTTCTTCTTCTTCTTCTTCTTCTTCTTCTTCTTCTTCTTCTTCTTCTTCTTCTTCTTCTTCTTCTTTCTTCTTCCTCACTGGTAAAGAATGTTTTCATGTGCAACAAGCAGAGCACTTGATGGATCCTAACACACAATAGACTGGGCTCAGGTTCCCTCTACTCAGCAAATATGCAGTGAAAAAAATACAAGTTGAGAAGCAATGAAGAGTTTAAGGTTTCTCCAACAAACATGGCATCGACTGAAGTGAAAGAAAGATTCTTTCTTACTGAAAAAAATTAATTTCCCAAGCTAGTGTTAGCAGATGTAATAGATCAGCTCCATGATGTTTGTTCCTTCCATGTCATGTTTGCATCTAAAGATACATATAGCAGGAGACTACCTGAGTCAGAAGCCTACTGGTATCTCCTGTGTGTGGAGCATCAGTTTCAGCATTGGATGCATCTAGTTGGAGAGGTGTTGGTTGTGTGCTAGTCACATGCCTGGTTGTGGAACTGGCAAGCCACAAGCACTTCTCTCAGTAGCTGTTTCTGCTACCACAGCTGACACTAAACTGACATCCACTGTGGGGCAAATACAGTACGAGAAGGATTCTGGCCTCAGTTTATAGTGACATGAGCTTGGAGATACTGTGAGTTAGAGATGACGTGGAGAAACCTGAAAACTTGTTGGCTTAAGAAAAGGGGAAGTGGTTTGGTGCCTCCAGTTCTTTCAATGTCAGCTCTGATAGCCCCAGCCAATATTGCCAGTGGTCAAGGATTATGGGATTTGTCATCCAAACCATCTAGAAGGAATCATATCTTAAAATACTTATTTTTAGTCACAAAGAATCTGGAATAAAATACTTGTCAACAGGTGCACGTGCATGCACACGCACATACACTTGTTTTTAATCTACAATATATACTAAGCAGAGAGAAACAGAGACAGTATTAAATTGCTTAGGAATATACAGCTACTTCATTTACACATTTTTAGGTTTCGTTAATGATATGCTACCGGGTCTAAGGTGCTTTTCACAGAGATGCATGGCAAATATTTTGCCATATATAGGACAGCTAAAGCATACCATTTATTGTTTCAATCTTTGTTTAAGAGTATATATTTCTTTTGTGTTCCATACAAATCCAAATTTGGTGCCAAGAGATCACCATACTCTGCAGCTCATAAAACAACAGAATGACTGCCCTTTGTCTATATTTATTCTGGCACATTTAGGAATCTTGTATGTTTTGGGGATTATGCACTGAAATTACCAAAGGATAAGAGTTAAGCATTTAAGTGCCTCTTTAGATTGGAGGGAGAAAGACACAGAGCACAGGAACTCACAAACCCATTCTTTCTTGTTCTCCCAATATGTGTAACCAGCTGTGTCTGAAGGACTTGAGTTGAAGGCATGCCTTCTTTGTAAGGTTTTAGTGACCTAACAAAAGTATTGTCCAACCCAGAGTTCTGTTTTTACACCTGGATTACATGGCTACTTTGCTTTAAAAAACAAACACAAAACTATTGGAGATGCAATTTGGGCATGGGTGAGGAATCTTGCTGTTGTTTTTATTTTAAGAATAGTGGTGAGATTGTCCTTGCTGTATTTCTATTCCTGATTGGGATAGTGAACAGGACACAAGGGTGTCCATCCACTGCTATAGAATTTTAGTAAAGCCAGATGTTTCCAGCTGGGGCGGGTACACTAGTATTGCCACACAGAAAGTACAATGAAGAATGGCAGCAACAGTTAAGTGTGATCTCATTTTTGCAAGCTGGTTTGCAATAATCAAATGCCAAAGATTTTCAGAGCGGTATACCAATTTCAAGTTGACTTCTACCTTTTTTTTTCTCTAGCTGTTGAAGATGCATCATTGAAACTGAAACAGTTAGAAGCAGAGCTCAGCCCAGTTCTGATTTCCCCATCCAGCATAAATATCAATGTCAACAAACAGGTACTGTGCGTTCATTCCTCCAGGATAGATTGGGAATGGCATTTAGCTTTCATTATGTTAGTTACTTCCAAGTTAATCTGCCTACATATGCAGTGTTTTAGAGACTACTGTACACGCACTTCAGGATTCTTGGATTTGTTTGATAGAAATTTACGAGGCAAGATCTTTGGTATAACTAGATTTACATACAGTCTGAGAAGTTGTAGATGATGGCAGACCTTTTTAATTAGGTACATTCTAGCTATGTGAGCTAGATTCCTGCTGAAATCTCCGGCTTAGACTCAGTCTTATGGCAGCCAGCAGTTGCCATTGCTGAGACCCATCAGAAAGACATAACCGGTACTGTCAGACAAAGGATTTTGTATAGCTCTCCCTCTTTTTCTTTGTTTTTAATTGCTCTGAACCATTTTGGCAGTTAAAGTTTTTTGATTGAAAAGCAGAGTGCCAAAAAGTGAAAACTGGGCCTTATCTCCCAAATCCATTTGGTAAGAAGAGTGAGGGCTGTTGCTTTCCACGTATGTAAGATCAATATATTGGACTTTGTTTTTAATGTTTCCTGGGATATGATCAGGCACAGCCTCATGAGGAAATGGCTTTCGCATGTGCACACCTCACGGCTGCTGTATTATAAAGATTACACAGAATGTAAGAGGATTAGCCTTGAGTTCTGTCCTGCTGGCTGCTCTTCCTCCTCACAAACAGAAGCAAACATGCAGCCTCATTCAGCATCTCTTGTCTGTCTGTTTCTCAGCTTTAATAGCTGATGAAAACAAGGTTCCTGGTAATTAAGGAAATGGTCATCTCTTAAATGATGATTTAATTAAGATACCCTAAGTAAATGCCAACCACTGTGACCTTAGTTTGACAAACAACAGGCATACAAAGATAACTGAATTTGTGTGTTTTGGTATTATTGATGAACTATAGGTTTGATGTCACAAGGCTCATAGTGACTGAAAGGTATGAGTATCTTTGCATAAAATGTGAATATTGTACTGCAGAGGAGCAATCCAAGCCATAAATTTCTGTCTAAAACAATATCACCATACTATTAATCATTCTGTCTTTCCTAATCTCTGGTAAGTCCAAAAGGTGTGTTTCAATTAATCTTTTAAAAAGATTACCAATTAGAAATGATGCCATTTGACTGGAAAATGCACGTTGCTAAATCTTTTAAAAAGGCAGCTTTTTGGGAACAAACAAACAAAAACATTCAAATTATTGCAAGTTGAGCAATTTTTGTAACTTGTTCATTGTCATGCTTTGATTTAGCAAATTCTTTTGCAAGAGGCTTGTCATTCATTTCTGAAAATGTTTTGCCCTTTAGTGTGCACTAGGCAGATATAGGTTTAAGTCTCCAGGGAGCTGGAAAATTCAGTACAGTGGGCCCTCGATTTACGAACGGCCCTAGTTGCGAACATTTAGGGTTATGAACCCGATCTCATCACAAGTAATACACCCTACTTGCTAATGCGGATCGGTTTACGAACTCAAAAGGCAGGGAGAAAGGGCGGGAAATTCGAATTTCCTGCCCTTCCTCCCTGCCTTTGGAACTTTCAAAGGACTTCCTCCAATGTTGGGGGAAAGCCCTTTGAGAGCTCCGAAGCCGCCCATCGCGGCAGCAAGGACCCCCAGGGAGGTCTTCCAGGGCTTGCACGCCACCATGGGAGACCTCCCTGGGGGTCCCTGCCGCTGCGATCGGTGCCTTCGGAGGTTTCAAAGGGCTTTCCCTGACATTGGAAAGCTCCAAAGGCAGGGAGAAAGGGCAGGAAATTCGAATTTCCCACCCTTTCTCCCTGCCTTTTGGGTTCGTAACCCGATCTGCGTTCGCAAGTAGGGTTTACTACTTGCGATGAGATCGGGTTCGTAACCCGAAATGTTCGTAATTTGGAGGGGGGGTTTGGACTGGGGGGTTATGTTTCTGTGGGTTTTGTGTGTGTGTGTGTGTGTGTGTGTGTGTGTGTTTTAGTCCCAACATGGGACTTGCTTTTTATTTTAATTTTTTTATTTTTTGAAATGCTGGAACGGATTAATTCCGTTCCCATGCATTTCAATGGGAAATGGTACTTCGACTTACGAATTTTCTGAGGTATGACCGTCCTTCCAGAAAGGATTAAGTTCGGAACTCGAGGGCCCACTGTAGATGACTTTGTGCCTGCCACACACTCCCTAAGCCTGATCTATTTCATAAGGATGGGGAAGTGGGCAGCAGTGAGCAAACAGAGTAGGAAGGAGGAGAATTGTGTGTGATGCCTTCATCCATTGAGAGGAAAGGTGGGATAGTAATGTATGTCTCCTTTGTCTGCACTCATTGGAAGCCTCTTTTCCAATAACCTTTTTCTTAACTAAAAGCAAAGGGGGGTGGGGGTGGGCAAAGCATCTCTGCACTCTCTGGTTTTCTTATAGCCGTTTCCTTATCTGTGTCCCTGAACTCTGGCATATTTATGTGCTGTCTGCCCATCTCTATCAACAACCTTTGCAGAGGATGCAGACGGGGAAGCAAATGCCTAATGAGCATACTTCTGCCTTGATAGCAGATGAGTCGCTGAATATGTCTTGTACCAAATAGCTATTGCAAAATGCAAGCTTACAAGTATTGTGGATCTGGCCATAGGAGGGGACCAGTGTGTTGGTCTTATGTAAACAATCCTTTATAAGCCTTACTGCTTGCTGAGGCAGTTGACTGAGAAAGGTTAGTATCATCAGGGGTGGTCGTCTGGTTAGTGGTTTCAGGCTTCATAAATCCCGGTGGTTAGCATTCCATTTTGCTATTCTTTCTTTCCCCAGCTATCTAGTTTCTTAACTTTTCACTCTTTAATATATTATTACTAATAGTAGTAATAGAACATAATAGCATAGCAGCAGGAGGAGCAATAAAAACTTGAAAATAACCTTTCCACAAGCTTGACAGTTTCAACGTTAGAACAAAGCTTTATCGCTCATTTAATTAAGAATTTCTATCCCACGCTGGTACGTTAATTTTCATTCCCAAATGGCATTATGAAATGCCACGAAAAGGCTTTCATGAACTGAGGGTGATAGCTGTTTAAAACTTCTAAAATCATATCCCCAGGCCTTTGCTTTGCCAACGTTTATTATGGGGGAGAATTTCATTAAATGCTTTGGTTATAAAATAATGTTCCTCTACCTGTGGATGGCACATTTGAAATTATAGGCTGAATGGCCTTATTTTCACAGGATCGTTTCTGTTGCTCCAGGCAGCTTGGTGCCTGAGTTTGCTGGACTGGAAGCATGTAAAGCTGGCACTGCCAAGCCCTTGACAAGCCTACTGGCACTGAAGGGAGCAATTAATTTTTAAATACACAAGCATTCCAGTTTCTTGAGTTTCTGGAATGTTGGGAACAATAAAAGCTAACCTCATTACTTGTTTTGTAAAAATGTATTTTGTCTTGTAAAAATAAGGCCATTTGTACCTTAAAGAATGGCCTATGCAGAGCAATAGGTGGAAAAAGAAGTTTGAAAGCATGACTGAACTCCATAAACACACTCGAGTGCCACGGAAAGATTTTTAAGCAGGAGCTCCTGGAACCAAGACATCTCTTCTGGGTCTTGCTTTCACTCTGGAACCCTTTGTGGTTGAATTCACTCGTAAGGGCATTCCACAGGAAAGATTTTATTCTATTGAGATCCAACTCCTGGGTGGTTAAATACAATAACAAGCAGATCACATCATCTGGACGTGTTTCAGCAACCATTGTGTCTGCAAGCATTGTAATTAATGGTTGGGAGAGTGGACCAGAGAAGAGAAAAAGTGCTTAACCACCTTCCCCCACCCTTTGAACTTCAACATGGGGGGGGGAAGCAGGGGGAAAGAAAGGATACTGAGTGGAGAGAGAGAGAGAGAAACCAGTAGCTAATGTGAAGGAGATTTTTTAAGAGACAGTGGAAATGATTTTCTTTTGGCGTCAAATAACTTAAAAAGCTTGAGAGTAGTCTCCCAGCAGGCAGTGGTAGTGAGGCCTTGCCTCCCAAAGAGACCGAGGGAATGATCCATGTGCTGCTTGCCGCTGCCTCAAGGACAGAGTGGGCAACCAGAACCCTCTGCTCATTTTGGGATTCCACCATCCCTCACCACAGGCTGTGCTGCCTGGGACTGTGCAACAGGCCAAAAATGCTTGGAGGGCTAGTTGTGGTGGCTTGGAATTTAACCTAGGCCAAATCTCAGCCTAACTGCGTGAGCCACTCGGGGTCATTTCCTGGGAAGCCTGTGTGGGATCTGAGATGTCTCCTTTGTCTTTCAGAGATAAAGTTCTTGTATTGAGTGCCATCAGTCCCCTGCCCTCTGAGGGTTTTCCTCCTCCTCCTCCTCACCTTCCGCCACTGGTCAAGCCAGCCTGGCACTTAACACTTGTTACAGTGGATAGCAGGGGATTTTCGGAGAGGGAGAAAAAGCCATTGCCCAGTAGATCTACTGTTTCCTGAGATCAGGAGATCAGTAGTGGATGTACTGTCAGAAACCTGCTTGCATCTGAGTTAGCCCTGCCATAAGGTGGTAGACATCCAGAGTGAAGGGCCCCAGAAGGAACCTAGAGTCAGGCGCTCTGAGGCCAGACTAGACAAGAAAGCCCTTTAATAAACATGCACTCACCAGTTTATTCCTAAAGCGGGAGTGAGAAGTTTACTTTTTTAAAAGCTGATAAGAAGAGGCATGAGGGTTTCAGTGGAGCTAGATGTAATCTGGTTTGGAGTGAAAGCCTCCAGTTAGTAGAGTGGAGGAAGAAGCGTGGCTTGCTACTGCATTTTAAGTCATTAAAGTTAAACCCCATTTCCCCTCCTTTATTAGCATGCATTCACTGGTTCAGCTTCAATGCGAGTTCAGTTTGGCCCTAATTCTCTACAATGCTGTGCATTCTAAACGTTACATGGGTGTCAGTCCTCCTATACTGTGGATGCGTGTTTTGTGGTTTAAAAGGTGGGTTCCCAGTCAGAGCTGTTGTGATAGTGACCATACTCGCATATTCCTGTGATTATAGAGTCCTTTTTCGCATGGCATAAGAAATGTGACATTTAGATTTGAACCGTCATCAAGTACATTTTCTAGTTTTGAGAGCCCTTTTGGTGTATTTTCTCTGGTGCTTTCACAGTGCCTATGAAAACAACCCAGATCTTTCCTGGAGAAATGCTGTTAATGAATGTAACTCTGTTCCTTTTAAGGTAGAAGTGGTGAAACTGACTGAGAAATGCCTCAACAATGCCATTGAGAGCCCAGCTCCCTCTTCGGCCAGGCCACCTCCCGACATCAAGAGCAACATTCTGAAGGCCCAGGCAGAGGCAGGACACAAAGTAAGTGCTGAAGTTTGTCTTTGTGGTCAGTCAGTTAGTCAGTCAGTCAATCCATCCATCAATCAATAAAGGGCAAAAGAAATGCAGGATGTTCATCAGTTTGTCTTTGTGGTCAGTCAGTCAGTCAATCAATCCATCAATCCATCAATCAATCAATCAATCAGTAAAGGGCAAAAGAAATGCAGGATGTTCATAGAGTATCTTAGAATTTGATTGCATTCCTTAGACCTGTTCTGAAAGTTCTCTCTCTCTCTCTCTCTCTCTCGTTGAGCGTTATGATACTTCTCAGAGTAAAAGAGTGATGTAGCAAGGTAGCTCTGGTAGTCTGTGGATTAACAAAATATAAAAGTAAATTCAGTGGGCACAGCAGAGGTTTTGTCAACCAGATGATTTCTGTTAGTTTTGCCCTTTGCATCTGTTGCTGTGATTGATGAGCATGGCGAGACTGAAGGCGATAGCACGTATTTGCTGCAGTTACAGGAGTGAAAAAAATGTGCCCTCACCTCATGTTTTGCTTGTAGTTCTCATAAATATATATTGAAAGGTTTTTCTAGAGCTCCTTGTGAGTTCAAATGAAGACCCAAATGCCTTCTGGCAAGTAGTGGCTGTGATGGGGTGGGGGGCAGATTATTATTTTTTAAAATTATAAGAACGTCTGGTTTGTCTTTCCTCAGCCCTTTAGAGAAGATGGTCTTGCATGGTTTTGATGTATGACTTAATCCTTGCTTGGCCTTTTCCTGGTTTCTGCATGGTAGTGCAGTACTTTTTTTTCTTTGCTTTGCTGTTATCCTTTATCTTGAAAGCAGCATAAAATCCATTGATTGAAAGGGACTTATAGATGTGAAGCATGTTATTGCCTAATACTCCTGTATTTTATCCTCCTGCATCTCATCATTTTTCCTCTTGTTTGCAATGTATTTTAAAAATAAGATATCATTCTAGTCTCTGGTCCTTAACTGAGTGTACAAACTTTGGCTGGGAAGATTAGTGTGCTTATTAAAAACAGTAAGACTTATGAATACAATGTTTATTTAATAAGGTTTATTATGCCAAAGTTGACAGCACATATTTGCTGTGTTTACAAAACTAAAACGATCGTTTTGCTATAATAACATTGTTCAAGCTATCAGTACCCTCAACGTACAGTATTTTAAACATTGGCCATAATCCTATCCTATAACTACACTTGTTGGCTCCAGGGTGTGCAAGCAGTTGTGAAATTCACACTAAAGTGGAAGTTGTATCCAGCAGCCAGTTCTGCAGGTGGATTTGTGCAGCTGGTTGTGCAATCAGAAACGTGGACGGCCTCAGCCTAACTCCTTGTGAACGTACACAGGGGTAATTTTACACTAGGTCAGCTGCCATAGTACTTTGGCCCATCTTTATGCTGATGCATGTAAATAGTTATCCACTACTGATTGGGTGAAATTAAAATTGTATTCATGTAGTGATGAAACCATTTATTCCCATGGTGGACAAATTCTCTTTGCCCCTCGCTGTGCCTCTCTACCATGGGCCTCCAGTGTGCTTTCTGCAGGGTTGTATGACCCTTTTGGAGCAGATTTGATATGAAAAAAGGAGTGAGAGTATGTATCCTTGGAGAGTGAGAGTATGTATCCTTACCATTGGTCCAGATAGGTTGGATAAAAATCAAATAAATAAATAAATAAATTTGATATGAAAAAAGGAGCAAGAGAGAGTATGTATCCTTGGAGAACCTCCTTTCCCTTCATAACATTGTACAGCTCTAGAAAATTTAAGATTCCTAAAATATTATTGTATCGGTTTTCTCACAGGTCACAAGGGAGGATAGCATGTACAGTTCTAGAAAACTTAAGATTCCTAAAATATTATTGTATCGGTTTTCTCACAGGTCACAAGGGAGGATAGCATGTCTAGCAACAAGAATACTAACATTCAAGATGCTGTTACCAGGTACAGACGCTACAGTTACAAATGTATTAAGGTCTTTTATTCTGAGTCATTTGCAATATGAGCAGTTTTTTTCCTTCACTCAACTGAAATTAATTGGTGGTTTCAAAACACTTAAAATTCATTCATTCATTCAGTTTATATTCCACTCCCATTAGTTTCACAGCATTACTCTTGGCAGCTTACAACTCATAAAATAGAAAACACAAATGAAAATAGAAATATTAAAACTGAGAATAACCCTAAAAAAAGAGAAAAGTAATATTTCTGTATTGTTACACTTAGATGCTTGTGAGTTGGTTTGGTTTTTTTTCCCCTTTATTGAACTTTGTCTAGCTCTTAAAAACAAGTGATTGGTTTTGCATTGGACTGGGAACTTAAAAGTTGTGGGCCTCACCACCACCTAGTCTGTAGAAGAGACATGGGCAGATGACTCCTCATGCAAAAGAGTACGAAATCCCATGGCTGAGTGTCACTTCTGGGACACCCTTCCAAGAAGGGCAGCAGAGGAATCAATTTCAGTGCAGAGACGTGTGGTGTACATGTCATGAAAAGAACTGGAAATATTGGCCAAATAATGATAGGTGAAGGTTTTTATTGGCAAAATTGGTGCTGAGCACATAAGATACTAATATGATGGGAATTCAGTAATTAGACATAGCTCTGGTACAGAATTCAGTAGCTTGAGAATCTTGGCTTCTGTTTTCAGAACCATCTGTTTCTCGCCCTTGTAGCTGTGAATAGAGTGTTGGTCAGAAGCTTTCTACATGCAAAGTGTGTACCCTACTACTGAGCACCAGGGATTCAGGATAGTACTCCTGATTGGTCCTCTTCCTACCTTTGCAACAGTGCTGTGTGGTAGGCTAGCCTTTACATGTTTCTGACCAGCCCAGACCCACCTAGTAAATATTGTGCTGGGAAGACATTTGAACGTAGTTCTCCCAGATCATAAACCAACACACTTAAGTGTTATTATTATGTAGCTTTCTTGTATCATGTGAACTCTTTTCTGCTACCCGTTTTGCAGAAGAATAAAAATTATGTGAAAATAGGGATATATCTGTACACTGACCAGTTAACATAATTTACCCGATTTCCAAAATCCACTTTTAAAATCTGAATTATGTCATGCAGAGTTTTGATTTGTTAAAATCAGAGGTCATAGGGATGCAGCTGAAATTTCCAAAAGGTTGCTGATACAAAGTGGGTACTAGGGCTACTGTGCTTGATAATGTTAATTGTGCAGAGTGTTCTGTCAGTAAGGAGCCGTGGGATAGCAGCTCATAGTCAACTCTTTGGATCTGCTTTGTTCAGGAGTATTCTTCTGTCAGGAAGAGTTCAGAACAGTCCTCTACGAACTCAGAGCCCAGTGTTCCAGGAGCGCAGAGAGGGGCTGAAAGCAATCCCAGTCTCAAATGCCTTCATTCTGTAAGTCCTTTGGGAAGGGGATATTTCTTAGAGCACAGAAAGTGTGTGGAAAATGGCATAGGGATTAGGTAGTTTAGGGACAAGTCAAGCAGATGAACACTTGAGTGGCTGACTTGAGTTAATCCTAGCAATTTCCAGCCAGGTTAGTCATTCTGCTTTTCTGATGGAGACCAGGAGAACAATTTGCACAGCTTATCTGCAGCCCTCAAGCAAACAATAGGAAGTGATAGGAAGATCTTGGCTCCCTTTTGACTTCTTGGAGTGTCATTTGTGTCCATCTTGCACTGTCAAAGTGTTTCATCCTATTTAATATCATAAAATGAATAGATGGTTTTTTTGTTTCCCAAAGATCTAGTCATGCAACCCCGTCCTGGCCTTCTGTGTTGAACTTTGAAATTGCAGCAAAGAGTGTGTGCCTAGCACCAGTGCAGCTTGCCTTTAGACAGGATTTTTTGTTTGTTTCTTCAGTTGTTTTTAAGGGATTCTGTTGCTTTTCGTGCTTTACAATTTGAGCGTAATGCTAGATTATTAATGGATTGGTTTTGTTGTTATTATTCTTACTTCAAGAATAACAACAACAAATATTTTACTTTGCAAGACAGATGAATATTGTCACAGAAATAAAGCTCTCAAAAGGACCAGCATTACTTCAACTGCCGGCCTCCCTAGTTAATAAAAAGCAATCTCCAAACATAAAGGATTATGCTGGTGTGCTATAGTGTGTCCATTGGAATTCCTTCATTCTAGCTGCACCACTGCTAACTTCCATAGAAACCAGTATGTTAATGAAGATTCTTTGTATCATTACTAATTGAGTTCTCTTGTAAATTCACTGAATGCTCCTATTGGCTTTTTATGTGAATTATAACCCAACAATTTGCTCCTTTCTATGTTTGTTTTGATTTTTGTTTCTAAACCACTGAGCCCTTTATCTAATAATTTGGTCCTTGATGAGTTTGCGGAATACTTAGGACCCCTGCCCTTCATTGGAATATACTAATTTTCCTATACCCACGAGCTTTTAAATAGCTGCCAGGCCTAGAATCATCTGCTCTTAAGAAAGGATGGAATGATAAAATATGAGATAGTTTCTCAGTTAAGTCGTTTGTGGAAAATCAGGGTGGTCATTGATCTTCTGCTTCTATGTTACAATGATCCAGAGATTTCCTGGTGTGAATACTGCTTCCTCCCTCCTTCTCCCCCCCCCACCTGCCCCCACTGCATATTAGTGTGTGCCAGAGAGAGAACAAAGAATGCTTTGGGCACACTCAGTTATCTGGCCATTGAAAGCACAGAAGGCACTTGGGGCCACAAATTCCTGCAAAGTAATGCAAGATGAATAACCTGTAAATACTGTGTTGTTTGTGCAGGATAATGACTTCCTGGCCCTTTGAGTTTGGGGAGGTTGCTTGAAGCAGGACGTTTTGAGATTTGCATAGCAGGGACTTCAAAGGCTACCTTGGTTCTCAGGCAGCAATCTTCTCTTTACCCCATAGCACTCATTTGTCACATCTTCAAGCTAAGGGGTTGTGGGAAATAACCTGTGTTTATTTTTCACACATGCTGTGTGTTGATGTGCTTTCATCTTCCAGGAATGAATTAAATGCAGACAGCCATCCCTCCACCCCTGAAGATTCTTTGGGTCTTCACAATCTGGCCCCCATAGAGGAAGCTGTAGCTGCAAAGGTCAGTCAGTGCTTCATGGGGAAGTCTGTTCTATGAATGAAGCACCCGTAGGAGCATTCATCCTGGTTCCTTCTCTCTCCTCCCCTCCATCCCCAGGTGCAGTAGGATTAAGGGGAGGGGGCCTTCTCTTTGTACAAATTGATCTCTTTTTCTAAGCATAATTGCTACAGTGGAAGGCATTCTCTGTGCAGAGGGTAATGGGGAGAGAAGGGTAAGGAAGCAGAGGAGAGGAAAATAGTAAAGGGAAGGGGATGAGGGAGAAGAAAAAGAGTGTGGTGTGGAGAAGTGGGCAGTGGGGAAGAAAAAAGGGTGTGGCGGAGGGGGAAGGATGTTCCAGTGTCAGCTCTGGCCCTACCAAGCCCACCAGCCCCCATGCAACCTGGAAGAGATACCTGTTAAGAAGAGGCAAGCTGTACTGCACTGTCACCTGCTAAAGCATTCTATTCAGCTGGTGTATTGCATAGACAAGCCTCAGTAGCATGTTTTTTTTATGTCAGAGCTGGGATAAACTGATTAATGTTAAGAAAGGTTGATTAAAACACACAAACATCGTAACACTACTACAAGCGAAAAGGATCTTGGAATCATGAGAGATCACAAGCTGAATATGAGCCAACACTGTGATGTGGCTACAAACAAGGCAAATGCTATTTTGAGCTGCATTAACAGTAGTCTCCAAATCCCACGAGGTACTAATTCCCTTCTATTCAGCACTGGTTAGGCCTCACCTTGAGTATTGTGTCCAGTTCTGGACACCACACTTCAAGAAGAATGCCGACAAATTAGAACAAGTTCAGAGGAGGGCAACAAAGCTGATAGGGGGCTGGAAAGCAAGCCTTATGAGGAAAGGCTGAAGGAACTGGGCTTGTTTAGCCCTGAGAATATAAGACTGAAGGGTCATATGATAGCACTTTTCAAATACAGTGGTGCCTCGCAAGACGAGCGCTCCATTTTACGACAAAATCACATAACGACAAAGTTTTTGTGATTGCAAAAGCGATTGCAAAACAATGTTTCCTATTGGGGAATTTCGCTTTGCGATGATCAGTTCCCTGCTTCAGGAACAGATTCTCGCAAAATGTCGATTTTCCTACAGCTGATTGGTGGTTTCAAAATGGCCACCTCTGGGACAGATTCCTCGCTGCACGGGCAGCGAAAATGGCTGCCCTATGGAAGATCTTCGCTGGACAGTGAGTTTCAAGCCCATAGGAACACATTAATCGGGTTTTAATGCGTTTCTATGGGCTTTTTAAATTTCGCTTTACAATGTTTTCGTTCTACAGCGATTTCGCAGGAACGAATTATCGTAATGCGAGGCACCACTGTACTTGAAAAGCTTCTATGCAGAGGACGGGCAGGATCTGTTCTCGATCATCCCAGAGTGTAGGACATGCAACAATGGGCCCAAGTTGCAGGAAGCCAGATTTTGGTTGACTGTCAGGAAAAAACTTTCTAATTATTTGAGCAGTATAGCAATGAACCAATTACCTCGAGAGGTAGTGAGTGCTGCAACATTGGAGCCATTCAACAGAAATTTAGACAACACCTGGCAGATATCCTTTGATTTGAATTCCTGCATTAACAGGGGATTGGACTTGATGGCCTTATAGGCCCCTTCCAACTTCATTATTCTCTGATTCTGTTACTGTATTGCAGAAGGAGCATGAAAGCCCAGGGATTGTGCATGTAACATTAAATTATGTTTTATTATTTTATACAAAGTGGTTCTGTTTTTAAAACTATGCTTTAGGTATTATCTGATTCTGTTATTGTATTGCAGAGGGAGCATGAAAGCCCAGGGGTTGTGCATGTAACATTAAATTATGTCTTATTATTTTATACAAAGTGGTCCTGTTTTTAAAACTATGCTTTAGGTATTATTGTGCCAATACTCTAAAATGCTCTAAAATGCCACATATCCTGCAAGTGTATATAGACAACCTGTTTTCTGTTGTTACAGTATGTAGGAAACCTGTTTTACTTACACATGGTTTGAGACCATTAGCCTCTAAATTCTGAACTTCTGAGTAGCAAACATGAAATTTCTACTATATTTTGTTGCTTAAATTCATCATTGTATAGTGAAAGATAAATTAGGTACCCACCAGACCCTAAAATGTATAAGGGGAAAGACTCCATCAGAGGGAGCATTCATAAAATTCTATCCAGGGTGTTAGCTTATTCAAAAGCAAATGAAATGATAGAAGAACCCCAGCAGCATTTTCTCAGGCTGATTGTAACTTAATTAGCTATTATATTTTACAGAATCTACCAGAGGACATGGACATTCTGTTAACACCACAGGCAGAGAATTTAATTGACTTTACTGAAGCCATGCCTCGGGTAAGAGTGAACATTGAATGGAACTCAATGCTTTTATTGTACTGTTGGTAATTTTAGAAGGCATACATTGTTGATTTACACATCCATCATTTTGCACACAGGGCATCCTTACTTCCAGACTGATACCTATCTTGGGGTGTCAGACTGGTTTCTTGTGTAGTTATTTTCTTACAAATGATCCTTTGGCTAGTAAGTTTACATTAGAATGCAATGTTTCTTAAGGGTGTCTTGATCTTGCTGTCTTTCAGGAGTGTTTTTTTTTTTTTAAACTGTACTGTGTTTTCGAACAGAAGGAAAGTGGTGTGGCTTGCAAATAACATTAGAATGATCTCTCTATCTACGGTTTACAACAGGGGTGGGCTTAAATGCATACCACCTCCTCCAGAATTTTTTTAAGGGGGGAGGGCTTAGCTGGCCAGTCACCCTCTGTTGGTACCACTGACCATTTTGGGCTTACATTCTACTTTATGTAGTCCAGCAGAAGATGTCTTTCAAATGGTCCTAAACAGCCAGCCTCATTCTCTGGGTTTGAGAGTTGGGTTGCACCCTCTCAGATTACAAGGGTGGTGAATGTGGTTCTTGTGCCTCTGGAAGCTATCCGCCCCTAATCTTTAAAAAAAAAAATCATTGGCACTTTTTCCATAAATATTTTGTCCTTGATTTTTTGTAGTTTTAAGATTTTTGTGGTTTTGTGGGAGGTGGAGGTTTCTTTACGAAATGAGCCAAAAATTCCTAATTAAAGTCAGATGTAACCGTTGTGACAAGACTCACTGGCAAAAACAATCATGCTAGAAGAAGTGGAAGGTAGTAGGGAAAGATGATGTGTGAATCTGGGATGGACAGAGTCAGAAAAGGAAGCCACAAAGGTTAATGCCAGAGACTTTTGAAGGTCATTCATTCATAAGGCCACTATAAATCAGAACCGGCTTCAGGACACATCTCAACAATGTAACTGGTTTGTACATGATGCTGGACAAGCAACCACTCTCCCTGATTCTTTAGTGCATGGGAAAAATGTGTCCCTCCAAATACTGGACTTTGGTTTCCATCATCCCTCACCATTAACCATGCTGGGTAGGGTTGATTGGAAGTGCAGTCCAGTTACATCCTTAGGGCCATACATTCCTCATTTCTGCCTTGGAAGGTGATCAGAGAAGCTCCGTGACTACTCACAGCTTCCCTGGGATCCTTTTGATGGCAGAATGTTGACACTAGTCCATCACTTGGGGCCGCCAAAAGGATCAGGATTTGTCTCTTTCACCTCCAGGGTTTGCAGGGAGCAGGGCTGCCTCCAGGGATAGCCTGCATTCTATCTCTGGGAATCAAGGAGTAACAATGCTTGTGTTGCTGTTATTAAGCTACAGTGGTGCCTCGCTTAACGGCGATAATCCATTCCAGGATTTCGTTAAGCGAAAACATCGTAAAGCGAAAAAAAACCCATTGAAATGCATTGAAACCCCTTCAATGCGTTCCATTGGGGTCAAAACTCACCGTCCAGCAAAGATCCTCCATAGGGCAGCCGTTTTCGCTGCCTGTCTTGCGAGGAATCCGTCCCAGAAAACAGCGGGGAGTCATTTTGTTACCCGGCAGCCATTTTGAAACCGCTGATCAGCTGTTTTAAAATTGTAATTTTGCAAAGAATCGGTTCACGAAGCAGGGAACCGATCATCGCAAAGCAAAAAAAAAACCCATTTAGGCCATCGTTTTGCGGTCGCAATTGCGATCGCAAAAAGATAGTTGTAATGCGGTTTTGCCGTAATGTGGGGCAATCGTAAAGTGAGCCACAACTGTATATGGCTGTTGGAGCATTAAATAAAGTGACACAAAAGAGAGATATGGAGAGCCATGTGAGAGCAATGAGCACATTCCATGTTTTTCTATATTTCTGAGATCCTGTTGGTTTTGCTTTCAGGTGTCTTCTCCGCCAACAATTGTTCCAAGGTGGTTAGTGCCAGTAAGTTGTTGAATAATACTTATGAACAATGACTTGTTTTATTTTCCTGGCAGTCTCTTGTTGCATAGTGGCAAATGACATCCTTGACAGTGGCAGATTGCTGCGAATTAAAGAGTTCCCGCTTTGGTTCCCGGTTGTGCTCAGCTCTCACATCAGGAGACAAGGTCACCTGCAACACAAAATCAAAGCAGGGATGTTTTTTTTTTCATTAGCAGCAGTCTGCCACTACCAGTGATGTCACTTCTGCTGAATCAGTAATGCTTTGCAAAATGATCTTGGCTACATATCAACCTTAAATTCAGGAGGTTACTTCAACATAAATGATATCTAATATACTACTGGTAACGTAGGTTCAAATGTGAACGGGGTTTGCCAAGATTCTATTCCCGACATGCGCCTAAGTGCAAAAGCGTTATAGATTACAGTGAGGAGAGGGTTAACATTAAGTTTCCAAAATTCCACCTTTCCTGCTGCCTATTTAAGTAGGACTATTATTATTATTATTATTTATTTGATTTATACCCCGCCTATCTGGACCGATGGACCACTCTAGGCGGCTAGAGAAAACAAGTAGTTTTCTTTTCCTCCTGAAGGGAAGGAAGCTGGCCAGGGTAGTGGAGGCCCTGCCCTCCATTGGCCGGGTGGCAGTCTCCCTCTCAGACAGCATGAGCCAATCTGCTTCCTCATGGCTGAGAGTGACACCTTGGTCATCCTCGGGTATCCTGCTTCCAAGCTTTCCTTTCCTTAGGAACACTCAACTTTGGGTTGAGACGTCCACAATGTGAGCAGGTTGACCTGTTGGAACAGAATTAAATACACGGGTGTTTTACGTGGCAAGCAGAGGATGGGGCAGTGACAGCAGAAAGCTGGCAAAGGAAACTGAGGTGCTTCTGAATGGCAGGAGAATAACTTTCAGTGATACAGAGGACTCCTGCTACCCACCTTGTCCCATATTACTTTCCCTTGATCACTAATAGTCCCTTGAAAATGTCCTCCATACCAGTTCACCAGCTGTAACCTGGTGATTAGGCTTTGTTGAGAAAAACAGAGACAAACTCTAGGGGGGGGGGGGGGGGGGCACACCGGTTTAAAGAATTTGAGCGTTCTCTCACTCTCCAGTTTTCCTCAGCAGTTTTTGTTATCTTAGCAAATGGTTGGGAATATTTGTTTGCCTATAGTTTTTTTCTGGAGCCCTGTAGGATTTGTATTCCCTTCCCTACTGTCTTCATTTTCCTTACAGAGTGGGCTAGTTTCCAATGGGCCTTTGGGCAATGAAGCTGCCTTAGCTCATAAGGCAACCAGAGGAAGCACTGAAGCTTTGTTCGTCTCAGCTGGCTCTCCTCCGCCGCTGTACTCCACTGAAATCCTGCCCAGGTATGGATTTTCCTATTGCCACTGCACTCTCTTAGGCAGAGAAGACAGAGTTAAACAACAGTGTGTGAAGCATGTGTTTTACTAATGCATTTCTCCTCTTCTATATTATTGAGTTCCAACAAAATTTCCCACATCCTCCCAGATCTTTTAGCAAAAAGACTTAACCAGTGGCATTCTGTTTGCCTTGGATATTCTGTTTTGGCTGTGTGTTGTTGTTACTACTGCACAGAAAACAAATGTGTGCTAATTAGGACATTCTACTTAATCAATACAGGTTGTTGCAGCACTTGTCATGGACACCTCCTAAACAGATGCCTGTTATATTTACCACCTATGTCTGTTATAAAAGAATAGCACTACATTGTCACTGATGGATTATATGGAGGACCTTGGCTGTAATTCCTTCTTTATCTGTTCCTTCTTTATCTTCTAGCCCTCTTCCCAGCAGGCACTCACCTTTCTTCTCCCTTCTAGAATGCCTACATTCTGTGTTGCTTTCTTTTTCAGTCCTGTCCCCGAAGATGCTACCACAAGGCCGAAATGTTTACTCACCACTGAACTCTGAGCAGCGGCAAGTCCATCTTCCTACCACGTCCAAGGAGGCCCTGGAAAGGACGTCCATGAAACTCACTAACAATCTGACCGTGGCTAAAATGCCTGACTTTATTTCATTCTTTTTTTAACCGTCAAACTTTGTAACTGGAATTATAAGACGAAGAGCTGCTGGGAAGCCCTGAGCACTTCCTGTGAAATACACTGGAACAAATGCTGACATGTAACAAGGTTTCCATCCAGAGTAGTGCTTGGTGTTGCCAGAATTTCGTATTGCTGTATAGATGTAAATTGAAAATGGTCATTGTGATGAACTGGTTACTTTTGTCTAACTGAGGAAATCTGAATCTAGTAAAGGAAATGATTAGAGCTTCTATGGCCACCTCCAGGCTGTTGGGTTAAAGAAAATACTAGTAGTGGCAAAAAACAAAACAAAACAAAACAAAAACAAACACCAGAGCAAGTATTTCTTTTTCTGTGTGGCTGCCTGATCACGTCTTCTTAAGTCTTCTTTTCTACTGATGGTTGACAAATGGCCTTAATCCATTTTCTTGTCTGCACTTTTTTCACAACATGGGGAAGGAACTGAGAATGCAGCACCTTTAGATCAGCTTTTCCTCCCCACCAAGTTCCATCGGATTTCTCTGTTCAGAGCAAGGAAGAAATATTCTGCCAAACCTTTTAAGGCTACCAGCACATGTGGGTGCGACATTCTCTCGTCCTCTCCCATTCCGTGTAAGGATGTCTATTAAGATCGCTGTCAGGTAGGCCATAAGCATACCTTCTGTGAGGGAACAACTTAAAAATGAAGGGCAAGCTCCTTTGGGGTTTTTCCCAATCTCCCTTTTGAAAAATTAATTTCCTTGCATTTGCAAGGAAGAACCTGAAGTTTTTTACTTGTTCTCTGTGTAAGTTTCTGTCGTACAAGTGCACCACAACTAGTATTGGCTGACTTCTTTGTGTTTCACTTTAAAACTGTTCTGCTTTCTTTAATTAATGACAAGGCATCTTGAGAAAGGATATCCCTCTCTGCCTTTAAGAGCAGATTGTTTGGGACCAGTAATGAAACCTTTTTTTTCTTTTTTAGCACAAACTCAGGAAGAATGTTGTTTGTTGACTAAGCAAAGTGAATTCCAAGTTTAACTCATGCTTGGAATTTTTTTTGTTTGTAATCTGATGTTGGCTTTGAACATGGCAGGAGATCAGTTAAAACAGTGACTGCAGAGGTAAGACTCAGTCCTATTGTTTGGCTCCAAAACGAAACCTGATACATTTGAAAGATGTGCAAGATAGTATATTGAATGCATTTATTTTGATCTGTCCTGAATGGTTCTACTTATTGCATAGCTATGAAGGAAAGTATGGATTTATTGTTATGAATTCAATCAATCCCCTTGAAATATTACTAGTATTCTATCTATTTCAGGATTGGGACGTGGTGGCGCTGTGGGCTAAACCGCAGAAGCCTGTGCAGGGTCAGAAGACCAGCAGTCGTAAGATCGAATCCACGCGACGGAGTGAGCTCCCGTCGCCTGTCCCAGCTCCCGCCAACCTAGCGGTTCGAAAGCATGCAAATGCAAGTAGATAAATAGGTACCATCTCGGTGGGAAGGTAAACAGTGTTCCGTGTCTAAATCACACTGGCCATGTGACCACGGAAAGATTGTCTTCAGACAAACGCTGGCTCTATGGCTTGAAGAGCGGGACGAGCGCCGCCCCCTAAAGTCGGACACAACTGGACAAAAATTGTCAAGGGGAACCTTTACCTTATCTATTTCAGGAAACTAGCGATGCTGATGGAGGGTCCATAGGTGCTTAAATAAGAAAGCAAACAAGCAAATTAAATAGAAATAAATACGAACGGAAGAAACCTGTATAACATGAGTTCTAAATGAACTCTGAAAGGGAAATCTATGAGATATCTAGGGACAAACTTTATACTGCAAGATAAGTTAAATTTTCTGATTGTGATCAGATTCCAGATCAAGGGCTCTTAGTACAAAAAGCATTATACTGTACACCAATTCTGTATTTTCCCACTTTGAAGATTTTTTTGTGGAAAAGAAAATGAAAGATGCAGTGGCAGAACATTGAAAGTTACAAGTGGAAGGGGATGACATTTGGGCCCCTTCTAAAAATTCTGCGTTGAGCCCATGCCATTTGCCAGGACTTACGTTTCGTCTGAGACCAGCCTAGCTGGAAACAAACTTTCCTTCATTTTGCATTGCTGCTTCTGAAATGGGAGAAGAACCAAATCCACTGTGAACGCTTGACTGTTCTTATATTTTTCTCCCATCTAACATAGCTGTTGCAGTGTAAAGGAGGAGTAGATGGTCATCAGTAGCATTTTGAGGAGTCAGTTTTCTTCTTACGGTATGGTGTGGCAGTGAGAACAGGACTTGGTAGGGCAGAGTTTGGTCTTCATTGTCAGTAGCAGAACTCTTCACCACCAAGGTGTATCAGTCTAGCAGAGCACATTCATTTTGCAACATGAAACTTTTTAGGTAGTTTATTCAAAGCTGCTGATGGTAAGGAGGAGTTTTCAAATACTAAATTGTAGAAGCAAAACCCAAATTATCTCACGACTGCTATCAGCATTTCAGAAGAAATATTTTGGATGCTATGAGCATGATGTGTTATGTGAATTATTGTACTTTTTTGTTTCGTTTTAACAGCAGAGTGCAGGAATCTTTCTAAAAGTCTGGGGAGGGGACACAGAAAGAAAAGAACCACTTGCTAACTGACTGCTATTCAGAATATTAGCTTCATTCCGTTAGAATGTTACATGTTGGTTATAGAAAATGGTAACCTTTTTAAAAAAAAATATATGGATATTTCATAGAATTCTTCAGCAACTGTTTTTTAAAAAATGGTCAGTCAGTCAGTTTTAAGATGTTGAAGGATGCTGGACAAAACAAAGACCTCACAATACCCTGTACAATAGGACGCCCGTATCCATAGGGAATTGGCTCCAGCATCTTCTGTCTGAAACCATGGATATGAGGGAACCCTATGTGTGTTTTATATAGGACTGCAGCAAGCCACAGATAAGTGAAACAGTGATATGGGAGTCCTGCTCTTTTCATGTTTTGTTTAATAGTGAATGGCAGGGTCGGACTACAGCCCTTGTCACCACTCCGTTCCACAAGGGCCAGTTCAAACATGCCATTGCAGCCATCTCCAACCTTCGCCAACTTGGCATCCTCCTCCTGCAGCAGCTCATCAGCCAGAGGAGGTGGGAGCTGGGGGATCAGATGGAGAAAATTGTTGTGGCAGGGGCAGAGTGGTTTAATCTTTGCAGGTACAAGTTGAGACTGCTGGCCTGGGAAGGAACAGCAGTCACACTGAGAAGTATTTAAGAAGTCACCCCTGCTTTGCCCACTGCCCAGGTGGGGAACCTTTAACTCTCCAGATGTTAAGGAGCCACAGCACCTTTATTTTGGGCTGGCTAGGACTGATGGGAATTATAGTCCAGTGATATCCAGAGGTCTACAGATCCCCACCCTACCCCCAAGATGATACATTTATTTCATGAAGTGCTGTATGAGGAAGCGCCATGATGAAGCCTATACATGAGTAAACCCAGTGGAAAATCAGCCAGATTAGACTTCTAGGTATATAGTATGTAAATCATTGTTATTGGCTGGGGGATGATAGAAGTTGTAATCTTACACATTTTGAGGGCATCCATTGGTAGAAAGCTGGAACTATATGAGCCACGCCTTAGGTTTGAGTGGTGGCAAAGATCAACACACATGGATTTGTTTTATGTCTGGCAATAACATTCATCCTCTTGAAGCCAATTTTAATTTCTAGGGAAAGTACAGTATTCTGTATGCATCGGAACTAAACAAATTCTGCCAGTGATTTGGTTACCAGTTTCTTTTTCCTCACCTCTTTTCCTTAACTGGACAAAATTACTTTAAGATATGTGAGAGTTGCTATTTTAAGTTAGAGTACAGTATTTTGTTACAGAAGCACACACACTAACTGCTGTATTTGTAACTTTTGTAATGAGGTAGAGCTTGACAGTAGCTCTAAGTATAACTTATTTTTTTAAGTATTATGTATATATAAGGTCCATGGTGTTTCACGATGACAGGTGTATAAACAAACTCCTAGAATAAGTGCACTGAAACATCTGTATATGGGAACAATAACTGTGATTTGTAGTCCACTTGGAGTCGCAAATGGATTATGTTGTAGTTTGTTTCTAAATATAACATAACTGTGCAAAAAAGGCTGCCTCTAAGTGTCTTAAGTGTTCCCATTTTTAGACCAAACAAGGACATAAAAAGTCATATGTTGATTAAATCTGTTTCACAGTTTCTGCCTGTCTGCGGTAGCTCTTTTGTTTCCAGTAACGTTCTAAAAACATTGTGGCAGGATTGCCCATCAGCACCACTCGTTAACTTTTAAACTTTTTTCCCCTTCAAAATCTACCCTAAGAGGTGCAAGGAGAATTTATCACTCCCCCAAAGCTGTTCAGGCTGAGGGACATGTTTTTCCCCCGAACCTGAAAGTCACTTCTAGTTGCAAACAGAGGCCTAGAACAGTGCAGAAACAGCCCAACAAGCAACTGAATGCTCCTTCTGGTCACTAAAAGGCTGGACTGAACATCTGAAAGTTGCCCATTCCAGAACAACTTGTTTCCAAGCACAACACTCCTGTGTCCCACCACCACCACTTTAAGAAGGGGTTAAGTGCTGTGCAATGCAGATGCACTGGATACCCAAACTCGCGTGACATGCGGTAAACACCCATCATCCACTTCCATGTTTATACTTTCTGAATGCTTGAGGATGAGCTCTTTTGGCCTGCAGTAATATGCATCATTCCTGCAAGCAACTGTGTAAGGCATGGTGCATATTTAGTCTAGGCTGAAAGAAGCCAGCTTCATGCATTCAAAAAGTGTGCATGTGGAACTGGATGGGTGGGCATTTATTGCATGTCATATTGATGGGCAAGGTTTGAAGAGGAGCTGCAGTTGTGCTGTCGAACACAGAGAGAGCCTTCCTTTAAAGTTTAGACCTTTCCCATCAATGGGGAGGTTCAGGAAGTGGGGCCGTCGATGTACTCCCATCTGTCTTCTGTGCCTGGCAATTCTGAATGCTTCAAGAGGGTTTTTAAGGCGTCCAATCTATACAGAAAGACATTCAATAAGTTTACATATACCTTTTTGTTGGTAATAGGCCACCCTTGTTAAAAAGTAATACTTTCATTAAACTTTCACTATTAGGATCTAGCATAACAGTGTTAATTGTGCATATGCACAAGCATTTAAAAAAAGTTTTATGTACCTTAGTTTTAGTATGTTCTGAAAACAGTAAGGTAATACGATTTGGCTAAAGACCACATGCAGAACTGTAACATAGCCAAAGCAACCACCCTTTTGGGCTGTGGAACCAGCGTTGGAAAGAAGAGACATGGTAGAAGCTGTATGCCATGTGCTTCTCATCTTTCCCAAATGTCAAGAAAGGATAACTTCAAGAGATTACTTTCCACCTCTTCAGCACAATGTATTTCATGCAAAGCCTCTCAAAGCTCATAGGTAAGTGTGACTTACTGTGGTCTACACAGTATAGTTTAGAACTACAAATTTTATGGGTGGTGGCTAGTTTTGTACACTTGTGATGGTTTCCAGAAGATACAAAATGAATGTTCAAGTCAGTATTCAATTGCTTTGGAAACTCAAAGGAGTTCACTGCTAACTGGATCCTTTCTTGTAAACACTGTCCCCCAACCAGGCTTCCCTTCATGTAATGCACCTCAACCAGACATGCTCAAAACGTGCCTGTTTGATAACATAAAACCTGTCTATGCTTTTCTTCTGCAGAAGCAGCCAGGTTGTAGGAAAATCAGAGTTTTGTTATGTGTAACACACATCTGTCTTGTGGCACTAGAAACGGCCAGGTGTCCACACTGCATGTGCAGTATAGTAGTGACCCAACTGGCTAGGAACTGGTAGGCATTAATACAGGGCAAGGAGTTTGCAATTGGAGCTCTTTGCTGTCCCTACTGGTGGCAGACTGAAAATGCTACATGCAGAATTCATATGTCCTTCCCTCAAAGGTCCAGAGCTGCTCTTCTGCAGAACTTCGGGAGCAACCCATGTTTCCTACCTGATCTTTTTCAAGCTGTGACTGAAAGAGATACACTGGTGTAATCTGGAATAAGTGGAAATCTTTTCTTTACCAGTTATTATCAACATGTAGCCAAAACATAATTTTATTTATTTTACTTTAAGCCAATGTGTTGTCATTTCTCTGGGATGCATACCTACCTTAGGCTATGGTAGGTTCTAAAGTTCCCAGGGAAATGGGGGCAGTAGAAAACACAGAAACTAATGGTAGCACAGATAAGAGTGGTATATTACATAACTTGCACAGACTGGAGAAAGACAGTGCTGGGGAGGAAATGCACAATCTGTTGGAATAGTCCTGTCGTATATTTCTAGGGGTCTAAAACTAAAGGGAGGTGGCACCTCAAATTTAATCATCAGTTACTGCCATGCAGGCTGATATCCAGTCTGAGACTTGTGGTGCCACAGATTTAAGTGTTGTGGCTTGGCAGCTACAAAGTGAGAGCTATGATATGTGAAGCCCTCTTCAAGTCCCCACTTCAGCCAAAATCTCAAGTCCACAGGTAAGTGACTATCTTTTATCTCCACTCTCTCTGCAACATGGAGAAACTTGAGCAGGAGGTTGGACTTGATGGCCTTGTAGGCCCCTTCCAACTTCACTTTTCTATGATTTCTATGAAACTACAGGCTCACATGATGACTGGGTTTATGCAGAACAGGAATGGGCCACACCCACCCGTCCCTGGACGTTGGAGGGCCACACTTGCTCCAGGACCTCCGGTGTGAAAAATAAATTGTTTAAAAACGAAAAAGTGGCAGATCCTCGTACCCTCTAGTGGTCAGCCATTTTACTCACCCACACCCTGCTACTCAACTGTTGGAATAATTTCTGGTTTCCACCCAAGGCCTCTGACAGAATTTGCAGAGGATTCTTTTAATGATACCTATGCCTTGCTGATGTGAATGTAATTTCCACCTACTGTATGTGCATTTAAACAAATGCCAGCTTCAGGATTTTCAGGGGGAGTAGAGGTAAGGGGATTCCCAGTGTGGTGTAGTGGATAGAGTGACAGACTAGGACTCTGGAGAACAGGGTTCGAATCTTCCCTCAGCCATGGGAACTCACTGGTGTCTTGTGTGTGGGACTGGTAAAAGCCGCTCCTTAAATATCTCACTTACCTTGAAAACCCTATTAGGGGCTCTATAAGTCAATTGAGTTGATAGCACAGAATGAGTACCCCCCCCCATGCCCTCCACTGTGCACAGCAAACATTGCCTCCTAGATTGAATTTTAGATGGGGGGAGCTTTAAATTGAAAAAGGCTGGCAGTGGAGCCTGTGGGGGAAGCCACACACAAGCTGCATTTTACCTGCTCCTCTTGTGAAGATTTCACAAGTGAACTTGCAAAGGTTTTTGAATAGTCTAAAAGCAATTGATAAATGGCTAATGTTATCATCAAGGGCCATCTTCCGTGTGTTCAGTGGACAGGTATGCAATCCCCACGGAGCCACTTAATCTTGGGGCAAAGACGCCCAACCAGTAAACTGAGAACAACGGCATGTTTTGTTTACAGACTGCAGGAAATGTTAGGACTGTCATTTCCCCAACGCTTTCTATTTATGAAGGAAGTCTCATTAGGGTTTTTGACACAATGGGGTAAGTGGCAATGCATTCGCTCGTTCGTTCTCTTTCAGGAGGGAGCTTGCTTACTCACATGCACTAAGGAAGCGTCTCACTTCTTGATAAATGTGTGCAGACATGCAAGTGACACTGTTTTAAGCACTATTGAGCCCCATCTGCCAAAATGTGATTGCAGAGGAACTGGACAAAGGTTTGCCCCCAAGCAGCAGCACCATAGGAGGCTCCCCGGAGTCCACACTGGAAGGATGCAAGCAGCCGAACCTCTCCTCTTTCTCTGTCAGGCCATTGTCAGCAAAGTCCTCTTCCCTTGAACAGTTAAGGTAAAAAGTCTTCTCCTGCCTGGACAGTACGCTTTCTGCCTGGCTTGTGCTCAGCTTTCCACTGCAAGCAGCGAAGCAAAGTCCTGGCTCTTCCTGAGAGTGGCGGAAGGTTTTCATTTCTATTTCACTGCCTCCCTCGTTGCTGAAAATTTGATAGGTGGGCTCCGGGTGAAGCTGCTCCCAGAAGCAGGCATGCTGCTTAGAGATAGCTAGTAGCTTTGAACAGCCTCTTTGTTCTCGATGCAAATTGCTGAATGATGTCCTTGGAGAATCAGCAGTCCCCTGGAAACCATATCCAGTCCCCAGTGCACAGTGATAAAATTTGGACGAAGGCTCAACGGAGCTAGCCAGTTTTTTCCACATTTGAGATGGAAAATGGTATTTCCACAAAGTGCTGTTTGGCCTGCTATTAGAAACTCCTCCACCAAACAACAGCATAGAATCTTCAAAGATTAAAGCCGAGTGTCCCACCATTTTCGGAGGCCCCTGGCTAGACAGAAACACAACACAAAGCGGTGAGTAGGTCCACACAATTCTATTTATACTGATGAAAACTGAATTCACTTTTAAAGACCATTAACTACAGTTTGGGGGGGAACGTGGCGGCGCTGCGGGTTAAACCGCTGAAGCCTCTGTGCTGCAAGGTCAGAAGACCTGCCGTCATAAGATTGAATCCACGTGATGCCCTCCCCACCCTTGCCAACTATCCAAAAGGTACAGGGACAACCGCCCCTCCCTCTGATCAATGCAAACCAGACAGTTACCTGAAGGGAGGGTAAAGTGCAGAAGTTGCCACCTTGGGAGGGCTGCTCACCTGCATGCTGAGCTCTTTGCTGTCATGCTCTCAGGCCTCAATGCAAATTGTCAAGAGGAACCTTTAACTTTTTAACTACAGTTTGCTCAGTTTGGGTAAAATCTCCCCATGTCGCCCATCTTAAGGTATCGTCACGCTGACCACTGAAATGTCTATACTGTTGCCTATATCAGCTCTTAATTTGCAGTCCCAGTTATTATAGATGCAAGGCTTTTCATAGAAGTATAGCTTTTCAGCACTTTTTTCTTTCAACTTTTAAAAAGTATAGTCTTTTAATCTGATTTACACCTTCCCCAGTTAAAAAGACTTAACTGCATATACAGTAGGGCCCCCATATCTGTGGGGACTGGTTCCAAGCGCCCCCCCCCGCGGATGCTCCCTCCCAGATTGAATCCACGTGATGCCCTCCCCACCCTTGCCAACTATCCAAAAGGTACAGGGACAACCGCCCCTCCCTCTGATCAATGCAAACCAGACAGTTACCTGAAGGGAGGGTAAAGTGCAGAAGTTGCCACCTTGGGAGGGCTGCTCACCTGCATGCTGAGCTCTTTGCTGTCATGCTCTCAGGCCTCAATGCAAAGCAAGCCAGCTGGAGACATTCCTGTCCCACTTCCCACCTTGATCACCTGGCACTGACTAGGTAAACCAGCAAGCAGGAGGAGCTGCTCCAGAACCTCCCATGAGGAAGCTCAAAAGAGGGGCCTTAAGCAGCCAGAGATTAGAGATGGGGACAAACTGCCAAAATGGTGGTTTGTCCTGGTCCGTGGTCCATCAAGGTTGACAAAACGCGAATTTCCTGCCTGTGAATGGATGACCCACGAAAAGTCTGTCTAAAAAAGGAGGAGGGGAAAGCTAAGTCCCCCCACTCCCATGGTCTGCCCCTCTGCCCCCTTCCCACCACCCCCATTGCCTCCCTACCTTGGACACCACCATCTGAGCCTGCAGTGGACTGCTGCCACTCACACTGCCACTGTGCCACCACCCACTGCAGCCTGCACCACAGCAGCCTTTGCTTCTGCTGCCTCTGCTGCCATCCACCACGGCGTCCCATAAGGGTAACCAGCTGCCCTTTGCAGAGATGGCATGGGTGGCAGTGGCAGCGGCCAACGTAGGCAGGGGAAGGGGGTCAGGAACAGACTGTGCGGTGGGCAGCTGTGGGGAAGGTGTCTGCCTAGGGGCCCACCAATCAGCTGTTCAATAAGCCCATAGGCAGAGTGGGAAGACCATGGGGGATGAATAAAAACAGAGAAATACTCATCCCTGCATATTCATCAGGGTCTATGGAACTGATAAATATGAAGGGGCGAATATTAAATAAATTCGTGACTTTTAACAAATATTGCAATTTGTTTTTTAATTCGTCCCCATGTCTACCAGACACTGTGCTACATATTCTTCATAGCATGGTCTTTCTGGCTCCCTCCAGTTCTTGTAAAACATGTGAATTCTTTCTGCTTTGTTTCTTTTACTACTTTTAATATTTAATATTTGCAGACCAAGGATGTGAATCAGTGGATCCTACTGTACTTCAAAAGTCTGCAACTTACATTTCTTCTGTAAATACAATCCGGTAGTGACACAACAATGTATTTCCAATTCCGGAGCACATCTGAATCCTAATTTTTAACTTTAAAAAAATTACTCCAAAACTTCCTCTTTCGTATGGGGCAATGGGGCCAAGATGCCTCTCATATGCATTAGAAATGTTTTCTGCTTCTGTACACGAAAGACTATTTGGCTCCCAGTTAACACGAACAAAATGATGCACAAATGGCACAGATTCTACCTATATTTCTGTTTCCACTGTGGGACAAATACAGTGGAACTTACAGTCTTTAGAGGGAAGTAGTTTAGCATACAACCTCCAGAAAATGCATAGTAATAGTTCATAGTAATAGTACAGTTTTATGTTCTTCAGTCTGTCAAGCTCTTGCTTCCTAAAGCTGCTAGTGAACAGCTCTCAAATATTTACCTCCTTCTGATACTAGACCAGGTGGTAGCCATGAAATCCCACTTCCAGAAGTCCTTTTGTTCACTCAGTCTCATCAGCCCTCCAAACAAGTACATGCCTTTGCCATAAACCACGGCAGAGTGACCGTGCCGGGGACCTGGACTGCCACCGTATGAGGTAGCTGACACAGGGGTCCACTGTTTTGTATCTGGAGGAAAAAAAGTATTGTCACTATGGATTCCTCTTAGACAGAAAACCAGGAATGTGAAAGAAGCTCAGGCACAATTTGATTGCATTTCTACAAATCCTGCATAGGTATTGGTCCCACCCTTCATATCAGAAATGTATTTTGTTCCCTCTGGAAATTCATATGCATTTTCTATATAGTATGTCTATTCATCAGCACTTCCCCCCCACCCCTGTATACACACAATTTCCCCGTTGACTAAAAGGCACAGACTTGCAGGAGTTCTCACTTTGTTCGAAGGGTAGCACACAAGCTTCGTGAATGCACAAATAACCGAGTCTCAGAGGTAGAAGATACATAATTTCAGCTAGAATTTCAAAACCACAAACTTTCTTTTACACCCCTCTGCTGCATTTTGATTCTGAATGTTCAGGGGGGTCTCAGACCATACCTTCCAATGGTTATAGTCAAATAACAATTGGGAGCAGTTAACTTACCAAAACATAGAGCCCAGAATTCTTGCGAAGCACCTCTAATGTCAGTGTAGCCACCATACATGTACATACTGCCCCTGTAGACAACGGCGCTGTGGCCCTTCCGATTCACGGGAGCTGTTCCCTGGAGAAAAGAGAGCAACAATACTATCTTAACAGGGGTTGCCATTGCACCTCTGCAAACCAGCTCCTAACGGTTCTGCTTAAGAATGTGTTCACACTTGCTTGGTCAAGCAGCAGCAGCCTACACCATTTCTTACATTTCACATGGAACAATAACAGGAAAAGCTAGTGTTGCCTTCTGGCGTATTTGCACCTAGGCAAATAGGTTTACTCACCCCAGAAGTAGAACAGCACAGTTTGTAAAATGGCCTGGTGCTTAAGCCTATTTTGTGGAGTGGAGATAGAAGCAGTTTCCAAATACTCTCTAACACAGAAAGGTGAAACACTTCAAGGCTTCTTCCCTTCAACCCCAAGCTTAAGGCTGCTGGACCACTATAGCTGCTTGAAAGGAAGAGGAAGCACAAGCAACAAGGGCAGAGATTCCACACATGCAAGAACTTACTCCCACACCACACCCCGTTCCCTGCACAGAGTTTTGGTATCCGAATGGGGCTCTTTTGGTTGGGAATGTTTGTTCTCCCAAATCACGGTGCAGCCTGGATTTGAGTGTGCTTCCAGGATTTTCAAAGATACACTATCAGTGCCCATAATGATGGAGGAAGCCCAGTAACAACAGTATGGGATTACATAGTAAAGGGAAATGTCCATGCAAAATATTCTACCCGAAGAACAATTCCGTTTTCCACTCCTACATTCCATTCATATTAGCCATACTATAATCAAGTTTTTTAAAATGCTTCTTTCAATATTTAAAAGCCATATAGTTTCTCCCCACTCTCAGGGTGCTCTTGAAGGGGCAAGTAAAGAGAACCCCTCTTTTGGCATTTGAAACCTTGAGGACAAAGTTTTGATTAACTCTGCAGCCATATCTCCCTGACTGAGCCCAACCTGGAACTATTTCAGGAACATATTCCCAAGCAAGCTGTTATGTCAACAAAGCAACATGTTTCATGTATGATTCATACATTTGTTTTGCAGTTTCTTACCTCACCCTCCACTGCTGTGAGCTGGCACTCTAGCCACTTGGTTGAATCTGTAATGTAAATAAAATATCAATTATAATGTTAGCCAAAAGAGGGTGCTGCTACTCTATCTACAAAGCCATACAAGACCCTCCCCGCTGACACTTGAAAATGGGACTCAGAAAGTTGTCGGAATTCCTTTCTTTGACAGAAACCAAGGAAACTTTTGTGTGTTGTATACAAACACCAGAACTCAATGGCACCAAAATAGAATAAGGATTCTTTAGTAATTATTTGCATGTGTGATAGGCCAGGTTTAATGCCAGGCACAATCAGGCAAAAAATATGTCCAGCAGAAGAAAAGTATATGAGACCCACTGTGGTGCAATAGATAAGAGTGTTGGACGAGGACTCCGGAGACCTGGGTTCAAATCCCTGCTCACTGGAGAGGGTGGCAATGGTAAACCACTCCTTGCACCTCTCAAATACCTTGAAAACCTGGCTACAGTCACTATACATCAGAAGCAACTTGATGGTTTGTGGCAAAAACATGCCCTCTCTTGAGATTCTGGAGCCACTTGGCACTCAGCCTAGGGATGAGGAAACAACATCCTGCTTTCTAGTTGAACGCAGAGCTAAGAAATGCTTTGCAATTTAGAACAGAGAACAGCAAGCCCATTTCTACCATGGGTTGGCTGTCCTTGCCTTTTTCTATAATGTCTGAAGAGAAATGCAGTGTTGTTAAATTGGTGCCTGGAAGACTAAACCAGTTATTGTTCCAAGGGAGGGTCTGATATATAAACATTTTTTTCAATCATAGAGAAAACAGGTTCAACACATGGCAGAATGCAATAACCTGCCTCAGCCACAACATTCACCATCCTGTGGCATATTAGTTCTCACACACACAAAAAGTTTTTAGTAAACATTTATTTTTGCTTATAAATAAAGGCAAATTCTACATTCACAACATTTAGCTTTGCCATGAATAAACTCATATAAGCTCTCTGAACATCTTAGGAAATATATATATATAATTTCCCCTTTCAGAGTACATTGTTCTGGAAATGTGAGCATTAACTGCAATAAGTGGGACATTAGAAGGTTCCAGCAACTTCAGGGTGACAAAAACAAGGTGGCCACTAATCCTCTTGAGCTTCCTGCCAGAAAGTCCCACCAATGTAATAACATGGGACTGTTCCACTTGCACAAGTGTTTTACCACTGCTTCGGAGGTGGTCTCTGTGAAGAAAACCCACCCTCTGCTCACACAAAAGCTAAACATCTATCCATGGCCCAATCCCATGTTGCCATCCTAGGAGGATTTCCTGCTCAGTGGAAATGCCATAGACACAAGCCATTGTACGTATGCCCCAAGAGTCCCTTCTCTTTGCTCTGCCACTGCCTTTTCTCCTGAAATATTAACACATAGCAACATTATATGTATTTTTAATATACACATTATTGGGCATTTTATTGTTTTTCTGTTCTTTTACTGGATATTTTATTTTCCCCATCCTTCGTATTAAAGTACAATGGCTATAAGCAACTGAAGCATTTCATTCTTCATAATATGGTTACAAGAATGAAAAAGCTGAAGTGAGAAATAGTATTCAATATTACTAATACTTCATTTCAACTTACTCAACAGTTCTTGCTCTTATATTTCTCTGGTTTCTAGAGTTCTTAATCAACCATTTCTGTTTACAACCTACTGAGGAAGGTTTAGACTCAGCAATTCTACACTTATAAGTGTATTTTCCCCCTTCCCTGCAAGACCTAAAGCCAACATAACTTAATATACCATTTCGGTTTTTCCTAAACATTTATTGTATCCTTATATGTCTCTAAACAGATTGGGGGATGAAGGAAAAACTATTGTACTCTAAACAATATCATTTCAATCTTGTGCTTATAAAGTCAATTATAAATCCCCACAACTTCAAGCTACAAAAAAAATTATGAATAATGGCAATAACAACATACAGTCATGGCCAAAAATATTGGCACCTTTGCAATTCTGTCAGAAAATGCAACCCTTTTCTCAGAAAATTGTTGCAGTTGCAAATGTTTTGGTATTCACATGTCCATTTCTTTTATTTGCATTGGAACAACACACACAAAAAACCAGAGAAGAAAAGTCAAATTTGATACAATTCCACACAGAAACCCAAAAATGCAGTGGCCAAAATTATTGGCATCCTTAACTTAATATTTGGTAGCATCCCTTTGGAAAAAATCAATTGCTTCCTGTAACCATGAATGAGTTTCTTACACCTCTCTACTGGAATTCTGGGTGACTCTTCTTTTGCAAACTGCTTCAGGGCCCAGAGAAGAAAAGTCAAATTTGATACAATTCCACACAGAAACCCAAAAATGCAGTGGCCAAAATTATTGGCATCCTTAACTTAATATTTGGTAGCATCCCTTTGGAAAAAATCAATTGCTTCCTGTAACCATGAATGAGTTTCTTACACCTCTCTACTGGAATTCTGGGTGACTCTTCTTTTGCAAACTGCTTCAGGGCCTTCAGATTTGAAGGATGCCTCCTCCCAACTGCTGTTTTGAGATCTCTCTACAGGTGTTCTATGGGATTCAGATCTGGACTCATTGCTGGCCATTTCAGAACTCTCCAGCGCTTTGTTTGTGAACATTTCTAAGTGCTTTTTGAAGTGTGTTTCGGGTCATTGTCCTACTGGAAGACCCACGACCTCTGGTGGAGACACAGCTTTCTGACATTGGCCACTATGTTGAGCCCCAAAATTCTTTGGTAACCATCAGATTTCATAATACCATTCACACGGTCAAGGCATCCAGTGCCAGAAGCAGCAAAGCAACCCCAAAACATCTTTGAACCTCCACCATGTTTGACTGTAGAGACTGTGTTCTTTTCTTTGAATGCCTCATTTCTTTTTCTGTAAACAGTGCCATGATGTCCTTGACCCAAAAGCTCTCCTTTTGTTTCATCTGTCCACTCAGGATGGACAGATCCTCTCAGGATTGTGGCTTTGTCACATAAGTTTGGGCATACTCGTCTTGCTTTTTTATGCCTTTGTGTCAGCAGTGCTGTCCTCCTGGATCTCCTACCATTTCATTCAGATGGCGACAGATAGTGCAAGCTGACACTGTTGTATCCTGTGTCTGCAGATCAGCTTGAGTTTGTTTGGAAGTTAATCTGGGTTCTGTATCCACCATTCGAACAACCTTTCATTGTAATTTTTCAGTAATTTTGCTCTTCCGTCCACGTCCAGGGAGGTTAGCTACAGTGCCATGGGCTGTAAACCTCTTGATGATATTGCATAGTGGACACATGAACATAAAGATCTCTGGAGATGGACCTATAGCCTTGAAATTGTTGATTTTTCCACAATTTTTTCTTTCAAATCCACAGACAGCTCTTTACACTTCATTCTTTTCTCCATGCTCAATGTCACATACACCACAAAGGTTGAGTCAACTTTTCTCCATCTTAACTGGTTGCAAGTGTGATTACTATATTGCCCACACCTCTTACTTGCGACGGGTGTGTCTAAATACAAATTAAAGGAGTGTCACATGCTTGAAAAGCAATTATTTCTTACAATTTAGACAGGGTGCCAATAATTTTGGCCAGTGCATTTCTGCGTTTCTGTGTGGGATTGTATCAGATTTGACTTTTCTTCTCTTTTTTGGTGTGGTGCTCCAATGCAAACCAAAGAAATGGACATGTGAATACCAAAACATTTGCAACTGCAACAATTTTCTGAGAAAAGGGTTGCATTTTCTGACAGAATTGCAAGGGTGCCAATATTTTTGGCCATGACTGTAGCTTTGGACAACCAGGTGTGGAATTCTATGTGATGCACAGCTGCTGGTTTTTTAAAACCACTATTTAGATTTATGCACAAGTCAGGTACAGAGTTCAAGTTCCTGCACTGCACTACATTAACTGTTCAAAAATTAGTGAATGCCATTACTGGCAATCAAATATCAAAGTCAATAATCTCAGACACACCAACAAATGCTGACAGTGATCATGACACCATTATTAAAATTCACTGGGTTAAGTGGACATCTCTTTTCAAGTAACATAGCATATCTCTCTGTTTACAGAATTGTACCCTATTTTGTTTAAGCCTCTTTGTAATGCCACTTGCAGATGCTAACGTGTCCCATACCAGTGTCATACATCCAGAGAGGATTCTTCTGTGTAAAAGGAGAATCTACCATTCCTCCAAAGATATAGAGAACATTCTGAAAATAGAGTAATGATTTTACAGTCAGCTGCCATATGCATTTTACAAAGTCCAATGCAATAAAAAAAATAAATTTTCAGTTACAAACCAAATAATGTAAATTGTGCCACTGCAACAGAACATGTAGAAAGATTTCACATCCAGCTTTATGAACCTTCTGACCACAAAGACCATCCATGTACAGGCATCCTCAAGTCCCTAGAACTGTGACTCCGGAGGCACTGCAAAAAACTGTTTTCTCCCTTCATGAAGAGTATTCATATGCAGGAATCCAGGTTGAGTATCCAATGTAGTTTAGTGGACAGCATGAGGGGATACAGCTCAGAAGATCTAAGTTCAAATCCCCATTCATTCACAGAAACTCATGAGGATGGGGGGTGGGTGGGTATGGAACTGGCCAAACCACTCCTTTAGTATCTCACTTACCTATTTGGGCTGCTGTGAATCAGTTTGACTTGACAGCACATATTATACACGCACCCCAAGCCTAGTGTGTGAGTGTATCAGAGAGTGCTGACCTTTTATACTGATTCTGTTCCATCCTTAAGGAAAGCTAATGACTCCGGAGAAATACCGTAAATCATGCAGGCATGTAATGTGCATGTTGTCTTTTACTGGGTCAGCATTAATGACTGGAAACAGTGGATATAAACACTGGCCAGATGCAATAAATCATCTGTACCCAAAAGACTTGCCTACTAGTGCAAATTCAGGTACCTGCTACATTGTCCAGTGAACCTTTATCATAATATCCACTGACAGTGTGGCTTTCAGCAAGAAGCTAAAGTCTACAGAAATAACCCTGAGATCTAGGCTATTCAGTTAACGGATTATAATATCAAGGTGTACCTTTCAATGACATTCTGGACAGTCTTTCTTGGCGATCAATGCTTGAGGCTGATTTAAATGTAGCAAACCCTGTGTGCAGCCTCCTTAAACCAAACACATGTAACGTTTGAACCATTCAGACTGTTCCAAATACATCCATGACAGATGCAGCATATGCTAAACTGACACACAGAGGACGAGAGGCTTTTAAGTGCTTTACCAATTAAACAGAGTCGATTTTTGACAGCTAGTATATGGGGGACTATAATATTTAGATTTAGCAATACGTTTTTTAAAAGTGAATTGAGCTGTCTTACTGGAAGGAATATCCTCCCATAGCTGGTGATTTGTTCTCAGTTTTTCTCAACAGAGCAACATCGTCACTGAGTACAAGACACACACAGCAAAAGCATGATGCCCTGTTGTTTGTTATTCAGAGTCATTTAAAAATTAAGCAATATTACGTATCTATTCATAAACTCAGTAAAACAAGTCATGTAGACTCTATGCATAGATAGTTCCCAGACACCACTGTGTTCATTTCCTTCTGCTTTGCATTTATAGGTGCACACTGAAAAACAATGTGAATGAATATTGATTGATTGATTTTACTCTGCCTTTCTCCTTAAAAACAGGTGGCTGAACTTGGCTAGGAATGAAGGACTCCACCCCATCCTGGAGTTCGTCATTCCAATTGCTGCATCACCACTCAAACTTCTCAGCGTGGCCAATGGCTATTCTCCTTGTGTTGATTACGCCAACATGTGGAGTGCAGTGGCACAAACTGGGGAAGGCTTTGCTAGAGATTCCCATCCTCAGACAGGATCCACTCTTCTTGGGTTCTTTTTAAAGAGAAAGGCGGGATAGGAATATTTTTAATGAATGAATGAATGAATGAATGAATGAATGAATGAATGAATGAATGAATGAATGAATGAAATTGTTGCAACAAACTGTAAAGAAACTATGTAAGGAAGACCATCGGGCTCCATGAAAACATGGCTGTGAAAATCCTTAATATTTTACAAAAATAGGGCGGTCCAAACTTGCCTGATATTCCACCATTGTGTGCTCTTCCAGTTCTTCTGGGCCATCTTCTGAATTGTCTAGTCTCTCCCATTCATTGCTTTCTAGAAAATATACCCATTATTGTAGTCTAAAACAGGTCCACGAAATCATCTAGCCTTATTTCCTTCCAAACATATTAATCTATCATTTATATCAGACTTTGATAATGTCCCATGCATAATAAAGAAAATTAAACAGAACAGCATGCACTCTGAGGCTTTGAAGTGGAGGTGCCTGTGTGTTAGTGTGCTACAGCTTCAGATTTGTGAATGAACTTTCGCCAAGTCATTCCGCATCCCAACTGTTTGTGACTGTCTCTTTCCTATGGAAAAAAGGACAAATACAATTTGCAATCTCTCAATTTGCATTTGACTGAATCTTGCAGAATTCCCGACTGTGCAAGTCAGGGGCAATCAGAAGCTACCATGGAATCAGACACCAGAAGCATGGGGCTGCCACCAAAACCAACACCACTCCTTCACGTTTCAGCCTTTACTTCTGTAGCACACAGTATAATGTATCTGCTGAGATTACTATGCTAAGTCTTTTCCTGACCTTCCAAAGGCAACTGGTGATGTTGAGCAGGAGATGAGAAAGGGATGGCATAATGATATCAGGCCACAACATATACTGGACTATAATAGGCATGAGAAGTATGTGTCTTCCACATGCACTACAGTTTTTGTCACTTTTAGCCAGCGCAGAAATCCAACAAAGCCACGATTTACAATCCAACAAAGCTTAAACAGGCACCATTGACCATCCCAGACTATATGATGCACATGAAGGGATTGACCGCTAGCATTTGTGACCAACATGAAATTGACACAACTCCTGGAAGCAGTGGAAGATAGGAGGGCCTGGAGTGCTCTGGTCCATGGGGTCACGAAGAGTCGGACACGACTAAATGACTAAATGAAACGAAACAATTTGTGACACCAACTCTCTGTTTAACAAGGCATCAACCTCTGTGTTTATCCCACAGCCAAGCATCCTGTTCCTCTCATTCTGCCCAGCAATCTTAAATATCTATTTGTTGTCTTCAAAATTTCATGTATTTTTTTCATCCTTGAAAAGTAGGAAATGTTCTTCCTGAAACTAAAATCTGAGGTGTTTGAGGTTCAGGAACTTAGAGAATTGTATGCCAAAAACTGGGACTGACACACTGCTGCTGTCATTGTGCCCCCTGCTATCGGACACAAGGCAGGTGAAAGCCAGAGAACCCCTCTTTGACGGTCACACTTGATTTATGGAACTCCTTCCTGACACTGGGGTGAGAACGTTTTCAGTTCTGTAAGACTTTGAAGGTTCAAATGGTTTTAACTACTGCTGTGTTTTTTATTGCATTTTCTTTTGCTATTTGCTATTTTGTACTCTTATTGTGGTTAATTTCTATGCAAGCCATCTTGGAAGCGTAGCTGAAGGGCAATACAGATTTTTTCTTTTTTTAATTTTTTTAAATTAAAACACAAAGTGGATTTGGCTTACCAATCCACACAATTATAACATAACAAAAACCTTACTAGATTGTAAATATTATTCAGTGTGATTACTTCTTTGGATTGAAAAAGTTGTTTCCAGCAAACGAAAAACTATGCTTGTAATGTAGGCATCCTTCAGTCTCTAGAGACTATGGTAATGTGCTCTGTATGGAGGACTTGGAACAGCATCTAGTGTGGCTGAGAAGGCCAATTCGAGAGTGAAAATCCCTTCCACACTGAAGACAAATACAATCTGTCCCCTGTCCAGCTCCCTGATTATGCTGCTTTAGGGACTGCCTGTTCACCTTGGCCTGCTGGACAAGGTAAAGGTAAAGGTTCCCCTTGACATTTTTTGTCCAGTTGTGTTCGACTCTAGGGGGCGGTGCTCATCCCCGTTTCCTAGCCATAGAGCCAGTGTTTGTCCGAAGACAATCTTCTGTGGTCACATGGCCAGTGCGACTTAGACACGGAGCGCTGTTACTTTCCCACCGAGGTGGTCCCTATTTATCTACTCGCATTTGCATGCTTTTGAACCGCTAGGTTGGCGGGAGCTGGGACAAGTGATGGGCGCTCACTCCGTCACGTGGATTCAATCTTACAGCTGAAGATCTACAGACCTTACAGCACAGAGGCTTCTGCTGTTTAACCCGCAGCGCCATCACGTGGCCTGCTGGGCAAGGGTCTCTTCAAATTGGGAGAGGCCATGCTGTACCGCCTGCCTCCAGGCTGAAAGCTCAGATGTCGTTTCTCATCTGTTGAGGTCCATTCTTAAGGCCTTCAGATCCCGCTTGCAGATATCCTTGTATTGCAGTTGTGGTCTCTCTCTGGGGCACTTTCCCTGCACTAATTCTCCATACAGGAGATCTTTTGGAATCCAACCATCAGCCATTCTCACAACATGTCTGATCAAGAATAGACGTCACTGTTTCCGTATGCGTGACATATCTTAAAAATCACTAGTTTACCCTAATGCAACGTAACCATCACAAATAAACAGTTGGGCAAGAGCAGCATATGGAATTTGGATTAGTGACATGAGGTGGACAGATGAAGAAGAAAATGTACCTATCTTGTACCGCCAGAAATCACTCAAGCTGGTACTTTGTCGGCCGCCGTAAACATAAAGGAACCCCCTGCAGATGCAGCATGCATGCTTGAATCGATCGCAGGGGGAGACTTTGCTCTGAGGTACTGGCTTCCACGATGAATACTCTGTTTTCCTTTTCATCCCTGGATTAGCTGGGAAGGTATGGCCACGTCAGTGTTTCCCAAGAGTATCTCAAATGCAGCCTGTATAAAGGAAAAGCAAGTCGAAGGAAATGAGATGAACACCCTACAGTGCTAGAATATCCTTAGATGATGTTACTGCTTGGTTCAAATTGCCTATCTGTTCCCTGCAATGGATATTTTAACTTTTCAACATGAGACACAGTGAATCACAGATCTATGGTGTGGTTGGAGTATCTCCCATGGAGTAAGAAATATGTCATTCTATTACATTTTCAACATGAGATAGAGCACCAATCAGCATTTCAATGAGGTGTTCCATGGCATCTCTCTGAATATCAAACCAAAATGTGACTCCTTGAGAAGATAAGAGAACAACAGGCATGTTTAACTGTTTTGTACTAAAACTTATCCCATGTTTGTTCCAGATTTTAAGAATGTGGCTGTTAAAAAGGGGTGTGCAACAGCTGAAAACAAAAACAAAATTCTCCAGCAACCCTAAAATATGTACCAAAAAAACACCCTCTAACAACTCTACAACAATTCTACAACTACATTCTTTCTAAAGGAGGGATTTCTTCATGCAAATGAGAACTGGAGGCTAAGTATATTTGTTAATCTACTATCTGGAGTGTCTGGGAGATGAGTGCTGGCAATGAAAGGGCAAATCCTGTTTCAATACTACCCAGTATAAAGAGGTGCATAACACAGCAAACAAACTTAACTTTGCATAGACAATGGTGGGGTCTCAGCTGGTAGTGACTAAACAGGTGAAAAGTGATGATAACACAACCATAAGAACAGCCCATCTGGATCTGACCAAAAATTTTTATCTAGTCCAATATTCTATTTGCATATCCACCAACCAAATAACTGGGAAAGGCTGCACACAGGACACGGAAGTGCAAAGACCAAAACTTTGCAGCCGACCCTCAAAAGGGATCGCACCAGCAAAGTTGTAGGAGGGGGCAAATTTTTTTAAGCAGCTGAAGCCATTTTCCTATGAGGAACATAACATTTGTGACTTTTTGATTCTGGGGAAGTGAACAAAGGGAGACATCATAGATATGCATAAAATTGTACTTGGTGCCTGACTACACAGGCATTTGTCCCACATTTTGGTCTACTCCAGGGATGAGCAGGTTCACTCATTTTGCCAGCAGCCAGATGACTCAAGTGCCGGCATGAAGGATCCTGGCCCCAGAGCGTGTGATTGCAGGGATCAAACCAAAGCAGCTATGGCTTATGATTCTGGGGAAGCCTCTTAATGAACTTAGTGCTCTTGCCTCTTAATGATACTGAGTAATGGAAAACTTTGAAGAGGAAGTTTGGCTTTTCTTTTTAATTGTTGCCAACACTTACTCAGTTAGTAACCATTAGAAAGAAATGCAAAAGCATCTCCTCCCTTTCCCGCCACAGGTGAGTGGCAAAGAAGATTTAAAGGGAAAGCTTCCCATTTCTCAAGATCATCATTCAGCAGCTTCTCCTTTTCTTTTTAGAAGCAAAGATTATTTTGATAGTGCTAAACAGGGTCACTTGTGATGGTGGTTTTCTGACCCAAAACCACACACCTCTATCCAGCCTTAAACAACCTGAAATGCCCACTCCAGTTTGGCTATCTACTCAGATAAAGTAGTTACAGGAGAGGTTTTTTAAAAAAAATCTCTAAATATAAGAACATAGAATCATCCAGCGAAGATACAGTAAATGGAAAGATATGTTCATTCATTTTATTTATATACCACCTTTCTCCCAATAAAGGGGCTCAAGGCAGCTTTTTAAAAATCTGAAAGACAAATATAATTAAAATATACCACCGGGGAACAGCCACTCCAAAAGACACATCCTTGTGTCCTCACCAGAGGATGGTGGGACAGCTTC